GTTCTCCCCCAGCCGGTGCAGGCTCCGCGACCGCTGCTGGCTCAGGCTCAGGGCCTTGCCGGGAGCTTCGGGCTTGGAGGCGCCCGTTTTCTTCGGCGTGGCACGGGGGCTGGCCACGTCCTTGGCCGGCTTGGGCATGTAGATGACCGTGCGGCCCCGGAAGACCACCGGCAGGTTGGGCATGGACTTCTGCGGCCCCAGGCTTTTCCTGCCCGCGGCGGCCCGGGCGTCAGCCACCTTCCTGCCCGCCTGGGAGGCCCTGCCGTGCTCTCTCTTCTCTGCCTCCAGGCGCCCTCCCCTCACCGCCCGCTGCTTGTCCTGCCTGTCCAAGGAGAGCTGCAGGGTGGAGCCGACCGACAGCCCCGACACGAAGGAGAGGATGGAGTCGGACTCCGAGGACGGCTCCCGGGACAGCGAGGCGGCCGCCTGGTGCAGCCAGGTGACGATGGAGTTGGCGCCTTCCTGGATGGCTTTCCACTCCACGCTGTCCAGGTCCGAGCCCCGGTCCGAGGTGGGTTCGTCCTGCCGCGGCTCCGGCTTCCACTCCTTGCCACCGGCACCGCTCTGCGGGTTGGCGCCTTTGAGCTTCTGCTTCCGCTCCGCGTTCCTGCGCCGGGCCAAGTGGCGCCGGCGCTTGGGCATGGCCGAGCCGATGCACTTCTGCAGCAGGTCGTCGTCCGAGTTGACGCTGAGGGAGCTGGGGGAGCTGTCCCGGTCTCTCTCCGGCGCCCGGCTGAGGGCCAGCGCCCGCCCGGCTTTGCCGTGGGCCGGCGCGCGCTCCTCGTAGAGGTCCACGTCGCTCAGGGAGCTGAGCGAGGAGCTGAGGGAGTAGCACGGCGGCGTCTCGTCCACGATGAGGTTGTTCTGCAGCTTGGCTGCCAGCTTGGTCTTGGCCTGGAGCAGCTGCCGGGCGCTCGGCTCCAGCTCCTTCCTGGGGGCCGCGCCGCCCCAGCGGTCCTTCCTCGGAGCCGGCCCCCGCGGCACCGGGCCGTCGGAGTCGTTCTCGTAGAAGCAGTAGACGGCCTCCTCGGTGGGCGTCGTGTGGCACAGGGACTGGAAAGCCAGGCTCCCCGGGGCGCCGTCGGCCTGGGGCTCCTTCCTGGGCCGGACAATGTTGAGCTCCAGGCCGGGCCCGTTCTTCAAGGGCACTGGCCCCCTCCTCCCCTCGGTGGCTGCGGGAACGGGGCTGGCCCGGCTGGAGCCGGCCTTCGGCTTGTAGCCCGCGCCCGTCTTGGTGGGCGTGGAGTGGCTGGAAGACGCCTTCTGGCCCGCGAGGGCGCCCGAGCTCCCCGGCTCGTGGGGCGGCTCCATCGCCTTGCGTCCCGGCACCGGCGGCACGGCCTCCTTCCTCTCCGGCCGCCTCCCCGGGCCACGCGGGAGGTCGGGCTCCTCCTTGAGGGGGTAGCGCAGGGTCTCGTCGCTCAGCGAGGCGGCGCTGGAGAAGTTAACCGGCGTGCCCTCGGCGGAGTCGGTGAAGGAGTCGTCGTCCTTGAAGAGCTCGCGGGGGGCAGAGCGCAGCGGCCGGGGGACGCCCAGGGCCGGGTGGGTGGGCACCAGCATGTACACCGGGACGTGCACGGCCTTCTTGGCCTGGGCGGGCAGGCCTGAGACGAGGGAGGTCTTGACCTTGCGGAAGCGGGAGGGCATGGCCGAGTTGATGCACTCCTTGAGGATCTCGATGTCGTCGTCGGAGGTGTGCTCCGGTCGGCGCCGCTCCTCCCGCCGGTCTTCCCGCTTCTCGTGCGCCACGAAGTTCAGGCCGTTCTTCTCGGGGAAGGGGGGCAGGAGCTTCAGCTCCACGTCCTTCTGGACGTAGTGCTCGTGGAGGGGCAGGGCGCTGAGGCTGGACGCGCAGGAGAAGTTCTCGTTGGGTTTCTCCACCGTGAAGTAGACCATGGAGTCCAGGTCCTGGGGCAGCTGGAACCGCTCCTTGAAGTCGGTGATGTCCATGAACTTCTTGACGTTGTTCTCCCACTGGATGTTGAACTGGCTGGGCTCCTTCTCGGGGGGCGCGCCCAGTTCGAAGAGGGGCGTCTTGCTGCGGCTGGGGGGCATGGTCTGGCCGGGGCTGTCGGGCAGCTCGCTGGGGCTGACGGTCCTGCTGATCATCTCGCTGCAAGGGTCGCTCTGGATGGAGCTGGCGATGGACGGGCTTTCGAAGCTGCCCAGGGAGCTGACGGAGCTGCAGCGGCTCATCACCAGCGGCGTCTCCTGGATGTAGTTCTCCGAGGAGCTGGAGGGGGTGAGGTCCTCCGGGCGGGACGGGGACAACTCCCGCAGGAAGACCTTGTCCCGCTTCGCGAAGGGGATGGCGATGGGCTGGGAGATGCCCACGGGCGTAGCCGGCTCCACCACCACCTCCTTCTCCCGCCTCCCCTCGGCCTCCTCGGCCGACGCGGCGCCCTCGTCCACCTCGATGATCTCCAGGGAGGAGTCGCTGTCGATCTCGTTCTCGCTGTGGCTCTGCCCGTCCAGCACGTTGTCGGCGGACGAGAGGGACGACAGGGAGCTGCAGCGGGAGAAGCAGATGGGGGTGTCTTCCACCGAGTACTTCTGCACCGACTCCTGCGCGGCCGGGGCCGGGGCCGCCAGCTTCTCCGGGATCTTGCTCAGGCTCTCGGAGGTCTGCAGAAGCCCGGGGGGCAGCCAGGCTTGCTTCCTGCCTGGGAGAGTCGGGGGGTAGGAGGTCCCCGGGAGCCCCCCGCTGCTGCTGGAGGTCTTGGCCAGGCTCTCCAGGAGCGGCACGTGCTGGTAGGACGGGGACAGCTTGATGGTGTGGACCTGCGGGTCGGCACTGAGCTGGGACCCGGCCTCCTGCGTGCCCTCGGGCTCCTTGCCCTGGATGCCCGGGCCGGGGAAGGTGACGGTTTTCTTGGCCCGTTCGTGCAGGTCTCTCGTCTCCGGCTTCTCCGGCTCGGCCGGCTCCTTGGCCTTCATGGCAGGCGGCTCCATCTTTTCGGGCCGGCTGGAGAGGATGTTCTTCAGGTCCAGGCGGCTGGGCCTCTTCTGGTACCGCTGCAGCTCCTCCTTGTAGCCCAGGAAGGAGGCGCGGGTGCAAGGCTTCATGTGCTCCTTGGTGCAGTAGCCGTCGCTGGTGCTGCCGCTGTTGAGGCTGACGGTGGACAGGCTGGTGTAGGCCGTCTTCAGCCGCAGCAGCGTGCGCGCCCGGCTCAGGCTCTCGCGCTTGGCGAAGCTGCCGGCGTCCGAGAGGCGGCACGGGGAGCAGGACTGGGCCCGGGCCTCGTGCACCTCGTCGGAGCCGTACTGCCAGTCCAGACCGTGGTCCTCGGAGCTGAGGCTGAAGCTGTCGTCCGAGGACGTGTGCAGGGTGGAGATGTCCTCCACCAGCTTGTCGATCTTGGCCACCGTGGTGGAGATCTTGTTGGCCAGCTTCTCGGCGGCCAGCGAGACGTCGTCGGTGGGCGCCGGGGGCTTCTTGGGCTCGGCCGGCTTGCCGCTGTCATCCTTCTCTGGCTCCGGACCCCTCCTCTGGGTGACGGCCCGGGGCAGGGCCTGTCCCTGGAGGAAGGAGGAGTTGAGGAACATGGAGAGGACGGAGGCATTGCCCGTGTCCACGCCGGTGGAGACGTTGGGCACCTCGTCGTCGTCGAAGCAGCCGGAGTCGGAGGCGTAGTCCTTCACCAGGCTCTCCATGTGCCTCAGCGGCTTCTTCACGCTCTGGCCCTTGAGGCTCTGCTTCTCCATGCTGTCGAAGGTCTCGGCCAAGTGCTTGGCATCCAGCTCAGCCTCCAGCGCCTTCTGCTTGCGCACGTAGAGGGAGGGCATGCAGGAGCCCGGGGAGATGACGGTGGCGTCCTTGTACTTGGGGGGCCGGTGGGTGAGCAGGTTGCGCAGCGCGGCGGCGCTGCCCATGGCGATCATCTTGTGCTTGGAGTGGATGAGGTTGCGCAGCATGCTCACGGCGCCCAGGTCCCACAGCAGCTCCTGGTCCTTGGGGCTGCGGGCGGACAGGTTCCAGAGGGTGCCGCAGGCGTTGCTCACGATGGTCAGGCTGTGCGACTTCAGGTGCTGCAGCAGCGTCTGCAGGCAGTTGTGATCCCGCAGCACTTGCCTGCAAGACACGGAGGCGCCGTCAGCCGGCTCGCCCGGGGCGGGGGGGGAAGCCACCCACCCCGCCC